AATAGATGGGAAACAGTGGAAGCAGTGTCAGACTTTATTTTTTTGGGCTCCAAAATCACTGCAGATGGTGACTGCAGCCATGAAATTAAAAGATGCTTACTCCTTGGAAGGAAAGTTATGACCAACCTAGATAGCATATTAAAAAGCAGAGACATTACTTTGCCAACAAAGGTCCGTCTGGTCAAGGCTATGGTTTTTCCAGTGGTCATGTATGGATGTGAGAGTTGGACTGTGAAGAAAGCTGAGCGCCAAAAAATTGATGCTTTTGAACGGTGGTATTGGAGAAGACTCTTGAGAGTCCGTTGGACTTCAAAGAGATCCACCCAGTCCATCCCAAAGGAGATCAGTTCTGGGTGTTCATTGGAAGGACTGATGCTGAAGCTGAAACTCCAATACTTTGGCGAAGTATGGAACAACTCATGCAAAGAGTTGACTCACTGGAAAAGACCCTGATGCTGGGAGGGATTGGGGGCAGGAGGAGAAGGGGATGACAGAGGATGAGATGGCTGGATGGCATCACCGACTCGATGGACATGTGTTTGAGTAAACTCCGGGAGTTGGTGATGGACAGGGAGGCCTGGCATGCTGTGATTCATGGGGTCACAAAGAGTCGGACACGACTGAGCGACTGAACTGAACTGGGAGTCACCTCATTAGCTTGTTGTTGTTCAGTTGCTCAGCCGTATCTGACTCTTTGCAACCCCATGAACTGCAGCAACCAGGCCACTCTGTCCCTCGTCATCTCCCAGAACTTGTTCAAACTCATGTCCATTGGGTTGGTGATGCCATCCAACCATCTTGTTCTCTTTGCTCCCCTTCTCCTCCTGCCTTCAGACATTGGTGTGATTGCAAGCATCATCTTATGAATAACAAAAGATGTTTCTATCACTTGGGACATTCCAAAGGGTTGTAGGAGCTTAGGGTCAGGACCAGGGACATAGGTCAAATATATATTTTTTATTACATCCCATTTAACTGTCCTGTATAGCTAATAATAATGTTTAAAAAAAGCTATAAAAAATATTCAACAGTAGAGAGTTGACTAAATAATGAAACAAAACTATATTGAAATTGTTGTATATGTGTAGACACAAAGGAATTTGTGTGGAAGTGTTATAAACTTGATTAGCAAGCTTAGTAGTCTCCAAATGCAAGGATTTGTTGGTGGCAGGTAAACCAGTAGAATTCTAGAAAGCTGCCAACACAATATAGGCAATGTTCAATTTGTAAAAGTTGTATCACAAAAGTTGGCTGTTTGAAGTTCTGAATACATATTTCCAAAGAAGCATTGTTATAAATATTCTGGGTGCAAGTCAGTCTAAAGCTGCCTTATTCTACTCATGGAATTCTTCAAGCACATTTACACTTAAATCAATTTTATGAGTTGACTATATTTTATATTCCAACTAGAGTCACTCAAAGCACATCTTCCTTCAGTAGAATCAGGAGAATATAATGAACATAACATCAGATATTAATTAGACTCTGGCCATTGGTAACTTGTTAACTAAATCATCAGAAAAATAGATCTTTTCACCTCCCTTTGCTTCCAAAAAGATAGGATAGAGATAAGATTTCCTTCAGAAATTAGGAACTGCTTATGGTTATCTTTTGCTTATTTTTCATTATAAAAGCAATCGTTTAAAAATAAATACTAGTTTACTTAAAAGTAAATGATAATATTTTCAACTTACTGTCAAGTGGTTTAGAAAATGTATCTGTATACACATGCAACACAAATAAAGCACATGTTGACAAAAATAAGCAATTTGTGAATACAGATGAAAGTTATAAGATTGTTCAAATTTTCTATAACTTGGAAATTTTAAAAAAAGATGAGAGAAAAAAAAAACAGGAATATTCCTTTATCTCCAACCTTCCTCACCTCCAGACATAAAACCTCTTTATATTAAAGATTTTTTTCAGGGATGTTTTTTAATTCATTTACAAAGATGTGCTGTGTAACTGTTTGCATAAATGGGATTACAATAGAAGTAGGACTATACTATATTTACTGATACTCTGCTTCCTCATTAAATTTAATAGTACGTATTAATTTTCTATTACTGTTACCATAAGCCACACACTTAAAACAGCACAAATTTATTAAGAGTTCTGGAGGTCAAAAATCTGAAATGGGTTTCACTAAGGCTAAAATCAAGGTGTTGGCAGCTCTGCGTTGCTTCAGGATAATCTGGGGGAGAATTCGTTTCCTTGCATTTTCCAGCTTCTAGAGGTCACCTTCATTCCTTCTCTTTGCTCACGTGACTTCTGAAGGCTCAAGTGCCTTCCTCCATCTTCAAAGCATCTTGAAGCATATCATCTTCACTGTTTCTGACTCTGTCTCTTCTGCCTCTCATAAGAACCCTTGTGATTACATTCGGACCACCTGGATAATCCCCATCTGGAGATAATCTTATCTGGAACATCCCTTTTGCATTGTAAAGAAAGGACAGATTCTGAGAATTAGGAGATGGACATGTCTGGAGGGCTTTGATTTTATGTACTTTACAGTATATCATACCTGTCTTGCTTTATCTATATATATAAATCTACCATTCTTTTTAACAGCATGAGAGAACTGATGTAAAATCTACTTGACCAATCCTCTGATGAATATTTAGGTTTCCAATTTTTATGCTACAGTAAGTCATATCACTGTGAACATTTTTGTCCTTCTCCATGTGAATATCTGTGTGTATTCCTGGAATAAATTTCTAAAATAGAACTTAAGTCAGAGTAAATATATTATTGATTTGATAATTCTGCCAAATAGCCACCCAAACTGCTGTACCAATTTATAGTTGCACAGCCAAACCCCATACTCTTGTCAACACAAAGTGAGTAATTTTTTTCATGTTTTTCAATAATGAGTAAAAATTTTGAAATTCCTTTCCTATGTTTAAATAAGAGATTGAGCACTGCTGTACTACTTTCTTTTGGAATTTTCACGATTAAACTTGTCGAATGAAAAAAACAGGCACAACATAAGAGCTGTGAGTTAAATTTTATTTGGGGGCAAAATGAGGACTATAGCCCTGGAGACAGCCTCTCAGAAACATCTGAGGAACTGCTCTGAAGAGGTAGCTGGGGAGGTCAGTATATATATCAATACTGTGTGATTTTGGTGAAGGGGGGATACATGGAGTTAAGCACACATTTGGCAAAGGGTTACTGCTAGTCACAAGGAGCAGATATCCTTGTCAATGATTTTAGTGCTTTTCTAGATATAAGAAGATGTAAGAACTTAGGCTCATAAATATTCTGAAAATATCTGACATCCTTCTCTGCCAGTTTTTCTGAGAGCACAGAGTGCCTCATTCCTGATCTCTGCCCTAAATTCCGTTCAGAGTATGTTGAAGGTCCGTGACTGCGGTGGTTAGTGTCTAATCCTTGTAGAAACAGGTTTCAAGTAATAATTTTTAGTTGGCAAAAACTTTTTGGATCATAAAGAGCAACATACTTCTTGATGTACTTGTGATAATTTGAATCCATGATGTTTATATTTATTTAAAAGCATGTTTATTCCATACTAAATGTTTTTTAAGTAAATACTATACATTAAAATTAGTGGTTTTCAAATGAAATTATTTTGTAATAATTACCAAGTCTTCTTATGTTAAGTGTTATATATTGGACTTTAGTGTTTACATAAAATACAGTAATTTATTTCCTTGGTATTTTGTGTGTGGGGGTTTGTTGTTTTTCCTGTTAAACCAAGGATTCTGAGTTGTTAATTTTTTTTTTTTTAACTTTGTAATTAACTACCAGATTCATAGCTTCAGCTTTGAACTTACATCTCTTTATGGCACATTTTGCCTTCCCTTACACTTTGAAGAATTGCCAGTATAAAACTGGTATGATAGAGAAGACACAGAGATGTGAATGTAGCTTGAGATTATTTTGCCTCCAGTTAACTGATATTAAATAACTGATCTTGGAGAGAAAGTTTGACTCCACAATCCAAACCTTTGAGAAATCCTTTCAAACTGAAATGTTGATTGCTTCTGGAGGTGGGGGGCAGGGAAGTTTAAACATTTCAGTGTGGCACTAGATTACCTGTTAAAAATAATCGTTTTTAAAGCCCTTTTATAATCAGCTCTCATGACTAGTGGCACCTTGATTACCTTAAATGTAGGAAAATCAGCCATCATGTCCTTCCACATTAAAGATGAGATCTAAAAGTGATTCTCATTCCTATGTTGCTCCAACTTTAGTGTATTTATTACTGATGCAGTGCAAATCCCTTTTAAGTATACTTTGAAAGAAAATTAAATGTAAGTCAATGTGATACAGTCCAGGTCTTCAGCATTGAATTTGTCAGCTCTCATTGAGATAACCAAAAGACAAAGAAGCAGAGGGAAAAATGCTGGCAAACCTGGGGAATGCCAGAAACTGGCGGCTTATGCTAAAAACTTTGTTATTTCTCTAAAACACAGTATTAGAGAGACTTCATTGATCAGTTCTCAATCTTGGGACAGAAAATAACCTACAGTGGTAGTTCATGCCCACTTACCCCCTAACAGCCCACTGAAACCATAAGCTCCAGTGTTGGGAGCAAGGGAGTCAACTGATGGGAAGCAAAGCTAGATCTTGACTCTGCTTCTCAGGCTCCTCTGTTGGATCTCTCCTCCTCAGTCAGGAGGATATTGGTTTTTCTCAGCGCTCCCTGTCTTCAGTTACCATCTATTTGATGAAACTCCCAAACGTACATCTCCAATTCAGTCACCACCACCACTGCACCCTACCCTCACATGTGTCAAAATTAAATTCCTTTAAATCAAAAAAGGAGAAAGGCTTACTTTTTGTTTTTCTTCCCCTTTTCTTCCTTTTTCCTTTTTCTTCTTCTATACCCATGTTTGTTGATATTGGCAAATGGCATCAACAAGCGTGGCTTATCCTTACTTCTGTCATTGAGAGTTTGAAAGCATTTTTGCCTGTTGAGGTATAACTTTCCCTTTGATCTTCACCCTGTTGGCTAACATTCCTTACCATTTTAGGTTGAGTTCTCTTACCCGCCCCTGATTCCAGGAGATGGACATGATAGTCACACCTTACCTGAAGAATGGAAGTATTTGCCCTTCCTTGCCTTACCAGATGGCGCACACAACTACCAAGAAGGTATGTAAACTCACAGTGGAGCAATCAGTAGGTGCCCTTTTTTTTTTTTTTTCAAATTTGCTCAGACATCTTAGAGTCTGAGTACTTTGGTAATGAAAGACATTTGGCCTAGTGATTATTGATAAAATATTTAAATGCTTATTTGAAGATGACTAGTTGGTTATTTATACTAGAGGATCTGCAGAGGAGTACCAGGCTTATATTGGTAATGGTTGGTGAACTTGGCCACTCTTTTGCCAAGAGCTCTGGCCAAGGTAAGTGATTACCCGTATTAGGACATCTGCTGTTGGTAGCACTTTCTATATTTAAACCTCAGACTCCTCTCAGAGACAAACTCAGGAAGGTTACCTGCACCAGCTGCAGGCTGATTGAAGCTCTAGCTACAAGTTGACTAGCTTCATCTTCCAGTGCCCACCTGAAAACACCCGGGATTGTTTCTCTTCTCCTGAAGCATTGCCGTCACAGTCTGCTTAAAAGTTTTCATGCGTGGGGAGCGTGTTAACACCCTCAAAGAAAGCAGTGCTGTGAAGTTAGTATGGAATCTCCTATCACCCTATACATGAGTGCTTTGAATGGCTTAATGAAGAAATATGCTTTATCATGGTTTTACAGGCTCTTCCAAGACACCAGATTAAACTTGGGTTGGTTGCTTGTTTTTCTAAAATTTATTAATTTTTGTATGAAATAAGGCAAATCCTACCATGCAGTTTAACATAAAATTTAAATGCTGTATTTTTAACCTCCCAAACCTTTTTAACTTTCTATTTTGAATCAGAGTGTAGCCAATTCACAAATCTCTTTGTAAAAATATTTTTAGTATGAGTGCTTTTAAACATACAGAAAAGTTGGAAGAATAGTAAATATTCGACAGATTTTCTTTATATATGTCTACGGTTTTGCCTATATTATACTTCCCCAGTGGCTCAGACGGTAAAGAATCGGCCGGCAATGCTGCAGACCCAGGTTCAATCCCTGGGTCAGGAAGATCCCCTGGAGAGGGGAATGGCTACCCACTCCAGTATTCTTGCCTGGAGAATCCCATCGACAGAGGAGCCTGGCAGGCTCCAGTCCATGGGGTTGCGAAGAGTCGGACACAGCTGAGCAACTAACACTTTAACGGTTTTGCCTATACTATTTGAAAGTCAGTTGTAAACATCATGACACTTTATCTGTAAATACTTCAGCCTGCATTTTCTAAAAATAAGATCATTCCTGGGATGACTTTGGATTTTGACCTTTACCACAGCTAAGAGATTTAACAGTAATTCCATAATACCACCTTATATCCAGCCTACATTCAGATTTCCTCAGTTGTCCTAAGAATTTCCTGGATCTGTTCAAAATTTCTGTGTTGCCTTTGGTTTGTATGATTCTTTACTTTCTTTTTTTTTTTTTTTTTTTTAGAAGCACAGAACTCTATATCTTTACTTTCTTTTAATCTGGGATAATCCTGTATAATAAAGTATTTTCTGAGAAAGGCAACAACTGTAGTTTCAACTCATCCTGTTACAATTCAGCCTCTAGAGCTTTTTGTGTGATGAGTATACACTGAAAGGCAGTGAGAGGAATTCTAAGAAACCAGTGGTTTGATGCTAGAAATAAATCTGACATGGGTTCCTGTTACTTCATCATTTTTGTTTCAATGACTTCATTATACTAATGTCAGAGTTGATTATTAAATACAAGTAATCTACTTTGGTATTTACATTTTTCTGTATATCTCTTAGATACTGTGTTTTTTCACTTGCCACCCAGAAGTGGAAATGGAGCCACTATATATGGTATCTCTTGCTATCGACAAATTGAAGCCAAGGTAAGACAGTTAAAATGAAAACCAAAAAAACACTTGAAAACTCTTTGTACTGGCCACTTAAGATGTAGAATTTGGGGAAATACATAAGTCTTTATTTTTCATGTGGTACCTGTAATATTGTTTTAAATTTTTATAAACTGTGTAGCTGTTTTCTCTACTGTACCAGTTAATTCACATTTTCTAAGTTGAGATTAGTGACTATATTTGTATCATAATATTTGGTACATTGTTTTTAGATAGTGATACCTAAATTATCCATTTATCTTCAGAATACTGTATTTCAATTTCATGGTATCCTTGAGTTTTCTATTTCTAATGTTTGGTATGAAAACTAAAAAAAATACAGAACAGACTTTTAGACTCTGTGGGAGAAGGCGAGGGTGGGAGGTTCTGAGAGAATAGCATTGAAACAAGTATACTATCAAGGGTGAAACAGATCACCAGCCCAGGTTGGATGCATGAGACAAGTGCTCAGGGCTGGTGCACTGGGAAGACCCAGAGGGATGGGATGGAGAGGGAGGTGGGAGGGGGGATCGGGATGGGGAACACATGTAAATCCATGGCTGATTCATGTCAATGTATGGCAAAAACCACTACAATATTGTGAAGTAATTAGCCTCCAACTAATAAAAATAAATGAAAAAAAAAGAAAACTAAAAAAAAGGAATGGTAATGAGTGTTTTTCTTTTTTTTAGAAGCTTTCTAGAAGTAGTGGAAAGTACTGACAGTAGCTACAAACTACTCACAAGTCATCTTAATTACCTATAATTAAGATTTTGATCATTCTTGAACTTACCTGCCCTCCTAATGCCTAACTTAGTATAATAGCTCTGATTAACAAATTAAAATAAACCAAGATGGGTAGCTTCCCCTTTCCTGCTTTGTTTCTGAGCACCACCATTCTTTTTGCAGTGGGGATACCCTTTCTGAGTAGATCGCTTTCCTTTAATGAAATCATTAATACTCTGAAGTAGTGGTACTGGTATGTGTCAGTCATAGCTGACTCTGTGACCGCACAGATTGTAACCAGGCTCCTCTGTCCATGGAATTCTCCAGGCAAGAATATTGGGAGTGGGACAATATTGTAAAGTAATTAGCCTCCAATTAAATAAATTAATTAAAAAAAAGAATACTGGAGTGGGTTGTCATTTCCTTCTCCAAGGCATCTTCCTAACCCAGGGGTCAAACCCAGGTCTCCTGCATTGGCAGGTAAATTCTTTACCTCTCATACCACTTGGGAAGCTTGAAGTAGTTCTCAGCTGCACATTGTAATCACCTGGAGAGTTTTAGATAAGTAGGGATGACTGGTTCCCCACTCCAGAGATTCTGAGTTAATGTTCTGGCATCAGGAGTATTAAAAGCTCCCCAGGTGATTCTCATATGCAGGCAAGACGATGAACGACTGCTCTGAAACAATGGTTTTTAACCAAAACTACCTGGAGACTTCTTAATTATAAGCATAATTGCTGGGCCTTTCCTTCTACAGACTGAATTAGAATCTCTGATAATTGATCCTAGGCAATCACAAAGTTTTAAAAGCTTCCTCAGGTGGGTAATTAACTTAGTCATAAAAATTTTTCTTTTAATTTTTATAATGAACGTTTCAAATACAGATAAATTAAAAGAATTGGTACAATAAATTCCTGTATACCCAACCATCTACATTCGGCTGTCGTTAATATTCTACCACATTTGCTTTGTGTGTGTGTTTCCCTGAACCATTTGAAAGTAATAAGTAAATTCCAGCATAAACAAGCTAGTTAACTACATGAAATAACCCTTCACGCACAGGGCCTAGAACAGAGGACACACATTGTAAAAAAATATTTGTGGTTCAGGTGAATGCTGTGCTGTGCTTAATTGTTCAGTCATGTCTGACTCTTTGCAACCCCATGGACATAGGCAGCCAGGCTCCTCTGTCCATGGGGATTCTCCAGGCAAGACTACTGGAGTGGGTTGCCATACCCTCCTCCAGGGGATCTTCCCAACCCAGGGATCGAACCCTGATCTCCCACATTGCAGGTGAATTCTTTACAATCTGAGCTACCGGGAAAGCCCAAGACTCCTGGAGTGGGTAGCCTATCCCTTCTCCAGGGGAACTTCCTGACCTGGGAATCGAACCAGAGTCTCCTGCGTTGTAGACAGATTCTTTACCAGCTGAGCTGGTAAAGCTGGGAAGCCCTTCAAATGTATAACTGAATTTAGAGATAAAGAAATCTGAGAATTTGTATTTGACTTCTTCACATACTGTTACCCTTGCACATTGATATTACTGGATGAAATGAATTGAGCTGCTGCCTTTTCTTGGAAATCTGTTCCCTTCACCACCTTTTACCCCTGTACATTGTGTGTGTTAGTCACTCAGTTGTATCCGACTCTCTACAACCCCACGGACTATAGCTGCCAGGCTCCTCTGTCCATGGAATTCTCCCAGCAAGGATACTGGGATGGGTAGCCATTCCCTTCTCCAGTAAGTTGTATCATCACTAGTAAAATTTTTTCTCCAGTGCTGTTGTTATTAACAGCAGTTCTCATGATCTGCCTAGATATCCTTAAAGTGGCACTCCACACCTCCTGTCTCTCTTACCTCCTGAGCCTGACCTACTTTAGTCTATCAGGGTTGCCCATTTCTCCAAGTTGTTCTCTCCTTATCTGATAACTAGATAGATAAACCAGATATCAGAGGTCCTAGAGCCTAGGAGAAAGCCTCATTCCCTTTGAACAAAGGTGAGACCTAATGGATGAATCCAGTAAAGGTAAAGAGGTAGAAGCGGATTGAAGAAAGGCTCTACTCTCATTGTAATTTAACAGATCATTATTTCTTAGGCAGTTGAAGACACAGATCCAAGGAGATGTCAGGCAGTACACGAGAAGGGGAAGTGTCGCAGTGTCGCTCTTACTGCCCTCACAGCCTTTCCTGGGGTTGATCAAGTCTTGTTTCCTAGCAGAGAACTGCAGAAATCTTATGTAATCATCCTCAAAATCACCAAGACCTGAGTTATGGCTCAGAACTGGACTACAGGTGTGCCAGGACAGACTTTGAACAGTGGAGAATAACCAGCATAAAAAAACTGCTGACGATTCTTCCATCTCTGGAGAAACAAGCTCTTAAACTGTCCCCTTCTCACCAGAAACAAAAAATCTCTGAAACGGGTATCCATTTTAAAACTGGAACCAAGGATGACTGGTTTGCATTATGGTTGTGGCAATTTACGCATAAAGTATTCTCCAGCAGACTGTAAATTCCTTGAGAGCAGAGATGGTCTCTCACTGTTACATTCCCATTGCCTGCCAGAGTCTAACAGAGTGCTCTGGTTGACATTTATTCATTCAATAAATATCTTCTGAGATTCTCAGTAAGTACTTTTAAATTTATTAAGTGCAAGTTTATTTTTCTGATTGCTATCTTATATTGAAACAATGATTTTTAAATATTTCCTTGAAAAATTTCTAATACTGACTATTTGTTTGTTATAGGCATTGAAAGTACGGCAAGCAGATATCACCAGAGAGACTGTTCAAAAAAGTGTCTGTGTTCTAAGCAAGCTGGTAAGAGACCGAATAACCTGTTAATATCAAACACTCATGGCAGCTTTTTATTTGAGAATAAAGCATTATTGGAATGAGGAGAGGGACTTCCCTGGCCGTCCAGTGGTTAAGAGTCTGTGCTTCCACTGCAGGGGATATGGGTTTGATCCCTGGTCTGCGAACTAGATCCCATAGGCCACAACTAAGACCCAGCACAGATAAATAGATAAATATTTTAAAAAATAATTTAATAACATGGACCTTTCTAATAGGATCTGAAGGATCAGGGTATTTCTTCCAAGATAGTAATTTTACACATAGGTCAAGAATAGTCTCCTAGAGAAGAAATGATTATAAAAGATTTTAATATCAGAAAATTGGTGGATTGCTAATCTCATTCCTGTACACAGTTTCTTAAAGGGTAGCCTGAAAAAATATATATCAGGGAATTTTTTTTTTTTTAGACTGGACCAGATGACCAGTGTATAGGAGTGCTGGATGTTGGACAAATACACCATTTTGAAAGGCTTCCTGAACGATCATTCTTCAAAGAACAATAATAATCATAATGGTGCCATTTATCAAATGCCTATATGTCAAATATTCTATAGCTGGCACTTTTTAGATAAGAGTTGTCATTTTAAACCTCATAAGAAGAGAGATCTAAATACTTACTGTTCTTGTTTCACAAATAAAGGTACATCTCAGACAAAAAATGTCTCTCAGAGACATGTAACTGCTAATGATAAAGTTGCGGTGAAAATCCAGTTTTATTGGACAGATAAAACAGGCAGGGAGATGGAGAGAGCTGGCTCATGCAGAAACATCTGATGGTTCATAGTGCCTTTTAGCCTATATATAAAAATATGTTTAGATAGTAATGATATATTAACCAGGATTTTTGTTGTTGCCTTCCAGAGTCTAGCACAGAGTGCTCTGATTAACATTTATTCATTCAATAAATACCTTCTGAGATTCTCAATCAGTACTTTTAATTTATTAAGTGCAAGATATGTTTTTTTTCTGATTGCTATCTTATATTGAAACATAATGATTTTTAATGACTTTTGTTGTTGTTTTAACCGCTAAGTTGTGCAGCCTCAGGGACTGTAGCCCACCAGGCTCCTCTGTCCGTGGGATTTTCCAGGCAAGAATACTGGAGCGGGTTTCCATGTCCTCCAGGGAATCTTCCTGACAGGGATTGAACCCGCATCTCCTGCATTGGCAGGCGTGTTCTTTACTGCTGAGCCACCAGGAAAGCTCATTATCTGGGATACTGGGGATAAAACTATTCCAGTATTACTTGTTTTAACTAGTTAGAGAATATATACAACATTAGTTTCTGCATCCTGAAAAGGACATAGAAACCAGAAAACATCTAGAAAAGAACATTTTATTGTTGTTCAGTTGCTAGGTCGTGTCCGACTCTTTGCCACCCCATGGACTGCAGCACACCAGGCCTCCCTGTCCTTCACTATCTCCTGGAGTTTGCCCAAATTCATGTCCATTGAGTCAGTGATGCTATCCAACCATCTCATCCCCTGCCGCCCTCTTCTCCTTTTGCCTTCAATCTTTCCCAGCATAAGAAAAGAACATAAAAGGATGGAAATGGTAGGAAGAGGGTTTTAAATAGGTAAGAATTAAGGAGTAACTTTGTGTTCATATATACAAAAGAATATTATATAGAATATAATAAGGACACAGACCAGTAGCTTTTTTTAGATTTTAAGCCTCTATTGAAGGCTAGAAAAGGCAAAATGAACTTAATCATGAGTGTCCAACTAGATATAAGAACTGAGTGCTGCAAGGATGATTAAATGTAACCACAAGCTAGCAGAACAGTGTGAAGAATTATGATGTTCTAAATTTTATGATACTAATGGCTATACTAACTCATATATATGGAATTTAGAAAGATGGTAACAATAACCCTATATGGAAGACAGAAAAAGAGACACAGATGTATAGAACAGACTTTTGGACTCTATGGGAGAAGGCGAGGGTGGGATGATCTGAGAGAATAGCATCGAAACATGTATATTATCAAGTGTGAAATGGATTGCCAGCCCAGGTTGGATGCATGAGACAAATGCTTGGGGCTGGTGCACTGGGATGACCCAGAGGGATAGGATGGGGAGGGAGGTGGGAGGGGGGTTCAGGTTGGGGAACACATGTATAATCCATGACTGATTCATGTCAATGTATGGTGAATACCACTACAATATTGTGAAGTAATTAGCCTCCAACTAATAAAAATAATTGGGAAAAAATAAATAAATTTTATGATACTAATGGCTAACATTTAAGTGCTTTCTATAGCCAGATAGTCTAGTAAGTGCTTTTGAATGTGAAAGTGTTAGTCAGTCACTCGTTTCCAGCTCTGTGTGACCCCTTGGACTGTAGCCCGCCAGGCTCCTCTCTCCATGAGATTATCCTTCCATACGCACGTGTTTACATTAGGCAGCAGATGTGGAGAGGTTAAGTGCCCAGAGTTATATGACTGAGTGACCAGAGCAACACGCAGGAAGTCTGTGCCCACACTCCCAACCCAGTGCTCTGTGTGGTGGTTACTTTGTACCTGCACCCCAGAAACTAGAACATGTGACTTAACAACATTCAACTGTGAATAATAAGATACTAAAGTTGTCAGTAACTTTTTCCTTTCTGGTCTTTTCAAGTTAAAAAGTTGTAGGGTGTTCGTTTTGTTTTGTTTTTACTATTATCAAACTAATGGTAATTTCTCTTTTTCTTTAAGCCTCTCTATGGCTTACTTCAAGCAAAACTTCAACTCATTACACATGCATATTTTGAAGAGAAGGATTTTTCCCAAATTTCCATTCTAAAGGTAACTTTTTATCCTCCATGGATGTGTTTGAAGACAGATTCATGAATCAAGTAGATCTTTAATATTGTGAGAGATAATTTATTAACTTAAGAAAGATATTCTTCTTTGAAAATAACATTGAAAATGGGCCAAAGATCTGCCCAAAATGTACAATTTCTACTTAGTAAATGATGACTACAGTTGATTATAACAAATATTTCTGTTAATGGATCGTAGCCCTTTTGCTATGGCATTGCTTCTCTACATTTGTTATCTCTTTAATACCCTGCACAGTATGTTTATATATCAGGCTTCTGGATCCTAACTTCCATATCAAAAAGCACAGAAAAACTACATGACTATTTTACTGAAGAATAATGTTTTTCTCAAGGCTGCCATTATTGTATACAGCGTGGATCTCTCCTGGATTCTAGTGAGAGAGACAGTTATTTAGCAAGGACGTAGAGAGAATTTTTCCTAGGAATCCATACCACCATGGGAATGGATCAAGCTCTAAAATGTAGAGGTAAAGAAAGAAGGAGTGCTGGAAACTGGCAGAGTTTCAAAGAGACAAAACTGCTTCAAAGCAGCAGTTTTCCCCTGGTCATCCTATTTCTGATTCAGTGTCTAAACTGATGGTAAAGTGTTCTAAACTGAATCTTATTTTATAGGAGCTCTATGAACATATGAATAGTTCCCTGGGAGGAACTTCATTAGAAGGATCCCAGGTATATCTTGGTAAGTCGCTTTTTCTACAAGTCAGAAGAAATGCCCTCTGTTCTTTTTGTTTGGCATGTTGCTTGGGTGTAAAACTTCATGATCAGAGTTACATTTCTATATGGTATCTAAATTCTCCAACCAAAATTTAGAAGTATTATTGTATAAGGCATATTTCAGCTTTTCAGAATAATAATGGAACTTTTTTGTTTTCCTTACGTTAATGCTGATCAGATCAGTTCCTTGTCATAACATAGAGGGAGAGCAAGGGAGAGAGAAGTCTGCTTATTAGTGTCTTTCTATTCTAAGATTTTTCAAGTTGGGGGTTTATGCTATTTTCACAACCAAGAACATCCATTGGTGTGTCAGGCACTCAGTAAAAGTCCTTTTCATGATTTTTTTTTAAAAAGTCTTGATCACATAGTAATTTATGCTCACTCACTTTGAATTTTAGTGTAAAGTAGCCAAACTGTGCTAGGTTCACTTTTGCAGTTCTATGTGTAATGTGAGTTGGTTATAAAACTCCTTTTCAGAGGATATATTTTTCTCTGAATTAATTTATCTTGTCTTATGGCAGGCGATCAGAGAAGACTGTGATTCAGAAATAATACCTATGGGGTGTAGTTCCCAAAAACCTTGTTTAAATGATTGAGTGCCACTGTGAAGTACAAGCTTCATGATTTCTAAACTTGTGCAATTTGTAAGATGGTTTTAGAATGGGAAGAAGGTGTGAGAGTTGCACGGCCACAACATGAGCCTCTAGCCACAAGTAACTGTTTGCATTTAGATTAGAGTTAATAGAAATTAAATTTTAAAATCAGTTTGTCATTTGCCGTATTTCAAGTACTCACTGGCCACTTATGTCTACTCTATGGACAATGTAGATTTAGAAGATTTCCATTATTGCAGGACATTCTATCTGATAGTATTGAAGTTCTGTTTGTATGTGTACATAATCAGATATTACATAAATATTTAAATTTTGCATAGTCCTACTTTTACCTAACTTTTTTAAGGAGATTAAAACTTCCCTTGACAAAAACAGTAGGTTGTAGTCACAGATTAGCTTTTCTTTTCTTTTTTTTAACATTATAGGTTTATCTCCTCGGGATCTTGTGCTTCATTTTCGACATAAGGTATGATACTTTATTTAAATTGATGATGTACTAAAATTATGTTCATTTAACTAGGCAGATTCCATGAGCTGCATGGTCTAATATAGATTATGGCATAACCATGTTTTAGTTTTTCTGAGACAGCTGTCATAATGATAGAAAGTTAAAAGTGTTGGTAGTGCTTATATAATAGAAATTTCTAAAAGTACACAGTGTCTGTTTATTTCAGTGCAGGATAGGATACTTTCTTCTACAGTTGTTGATATTTTGGATATTATGAAATTAGAGTGGAAAGAAACATGTTTTGTTTTATTTTATTCTTCTTCACTATGGTTTATTACAGGATGTTGAGAATAGTTCCCTATGCTATACAGCCGGACCTTTTTGTTTATCCATTCTATATGTAATAGTTTGCATCTACCACTCTCAAACTCCCAGTTCACTCGTCTCCCACAAACCCCCCCCACACACACACTTGGTAACCACAAATCTGTTCTGTAAGCCTGTGAGTCTTTTTCATGGATAAGTTTATTTACATAGTATTTTAGATTCCACATGTAAGTGATATCATATGGCTTTGTCTTTTTCCCTCTGACTTACTACATTCAGTATGATAATCTCCAGGTCCATCCCTATTGCTCCAAATGGCGTTGTTTCGTTCTTATGGCTGAGTAGTAACCCATTGTGTGTATATGTGTGTGTGTGCATGTGTGTGTGTATACCACATCTGAAAGAAATATGTCTTCATTTATCTTGTAGACTATTTTGCATGTTGCCCTGAGAGTGAAACATTTTCCAGCAAAATCTCTATACTTAATGTCTTTTGACTGGGGCATACACACATTGATTGTTCCCTTAACATGTATAGTGAGTATCTGTCTGCTCTGTGAGTGCCCTGGACAAACAGAAGTAAATGAATAGTACCTTCCCTTTAAGGGGCTTGCAGATATTTCAAGCAAAAAATGGCACAACTTCCTCCCAAAAGTCCAATTTGATAGTGATATAAGGGGTACTCACATTTTTTAGAGAACTCAATACTTAATTTCTCAGTATAAGTTCGTAATTTTCAATTATTTTTAAAGCACTAGAATTATTTAATATTATTGACTCAATGTTACATGGTTATGTTTGAGGAGGGACAAAGGCAAATGAATAATAGGCTTGGATTTCTTATTTTAATACAATATTTTTTTTCTTTCTTCAGGTTCTAATCCTATTTAAGCTAATTCTTCTGGAAAAAAAGGTGAGATTTGATGGATGGAATATTTCACATTTATTGACATTTCTTAAAACTAAAGTATAAATTAAGACTTTTTTGGCTATCAAATTGCAGTGAGCTAAAGTACATATTCTTTTTTACACTATAGAAGTGTGAATTCGTGCAGTGTTTTCTGGGGGCAGTTTGATAGTATTCAGTTATCAAGGTGGTTTTGACTATGTCGGTAATAGAGAACTCTATGTATGTATGCGTATGTGACTGTGCTGTGTTGACACGTGGAATCTTAGTGACCTGACCAAAAGTGGAACCTGCACCCTCTGCAGTAGAAGTCCAGAGTCTTCCCCTGGACCACCAGGGAAGTCCCCAAAACTCAGTCTAAATTGACTTAAAAAATGTATTGCCTTGCTTCAGACTCGAGAGTATGTTGACTGAATAGTTTGATAATATAATTAAGTACCTAGATTTTTTTCATCTCTTTGCTCTACAGTCCACAGTGCTAGCTTTATCTTGAGCCTGATTTCCCTTGTAGTATAGGATTACTGCCAACAATAGTTGAGCTATATGCTGCCTCAGCTATATGCTAGTGACAGAGGTAATATCTTTTCCCTAATCATTTAATGAGAATTCTTCCCTTTAATTCATTTGGGCCTGTGAGACCATATGCCTACCCAGAACCAATAATTGTTGCTGAAGAAAAGTCTGTATTGATTGTCTTAAGCCTGGTTCCAGATGTGCACTCTGGTACAAAGGGATGGGATTGCCATGATTTTAGATAAAAAATTATAAGGGATTTTAGACCAGGGTCTGCACACTTAAGCCCCAGGGCCAAATTTGGCCCACCACCTATTGTTGTAAGTAAAGTTTTATTGCAACACAGTTTCAGCCATTCTTCAGCTTATTGTTTATGGCTGCTTTTGAACTACAGTGGGAGAGTTAAGTAGTTGGAACCGAGACCAAATGGCCCACAAATGAAAAATGCTTACTATCTCACCCTCTATAGAAAGTTTGCTGACCTCTGGTTTAGACGAGTCAGGAGCCATCCCTGGATCTGTGGTCAGTATTACTGTCCTCAGTAGAGATGGAATGGATGTTGGAGGGTCAGCCATTCACAATGTCCAGTACAATTAATTATCATAAAAATGTTTATCCATTTGGCCCAGTAATTGTCCTCTTAAGAGATTTGTTTTCCAGAATTTACCGGAGCTGACACAGCTCTAAGAGATTCTTTCACAGAATCGTTTTTAATAATAAATTATCAATGAATAACTTGTTTTGATTTATCTTGTATATCCAAACAACAAAAAAGATTCTGAGTGGTTTTATTGTCTTAAAGATGTTTCGTAGCATGTTAAGTGAAAAATGATGATCCAACTACATATCAAGCCCAGGATTCTGATTTTATGAATAGATTGTATTTATTCATTGAAAAGAGATTGGAAGGAAAGACAGCAACAGTTTGGTGACCATGTATATTTTTTAAGAAGGAAATACTTTTCTGTATTCTGGTTTTCTGAATGAATATGTATTCTTTCTTCGAACAGGAAAGTAAATTTAAAAAAAAGAATGAAACATGTACTAGTGCAATATTTCAACCTTTAAAAAAAGCTTAGTTGTAAAATACACATAACGTATAATTAACCATCTTAGCCATTTTTAAATGTGCAGTTTCTTAGCATTAAGTATGTTCACGTTGTTGTGGTATCACCATCTGTCCTCAGAACTCTTCATTGTGTAAAACCGAAACTCTACCCATTAAACAATAACTCCACTTTCACCCCTTCTCCCACCACTGGCGACCACCCTTCTACTTTCTGTCTCTATAAATTGGACTATTCTAGGTTTCTCACAAGCGAACTCATATGTGTTTGGCTTATTTCATTTAGCACAGTGGCCTCAAGGTTCATCCATGTACAACAGACGTCAAAATTTCCTTCCTTTTTGATGATGAATAATATTCCATTGTATGTACATATGACATTTTTTTATCCCTTCATTCATTGATGGACACTTGGACTGCTTCCACCTTTTGGCTCTCATGAATAAAACTGCTGTGAACATGGGTCTGTGTAAATGTCTTCAAGACCTTGGTTTCAGTTTTTTGGAGTATATACCTAGAAGTGACATCTCTGAATCACATGGTAGTTCTGTTTTTAATCTTTTGAGGAACTGATGTATTTTCCATAGTGGCAGCACCATTTTACATTCCTACCAACAGTGCACAAGAGTTCCAATTTATCCACATTCTATCCAGCATTTGTTATTTGCTTGTTTTTTGATAGTAGCTATCCTAATAGGTATACGTTAGTATCTCCTGATTTTGATTTGCATTTTCTTAATAATTAGTTATGTGAGCACCTTTTCATGTTTTTGTTGGCCACTTGTATGTCTTCCTTGGAGAAATGTCTTCCCTAATCCTATACCCATTTTTAATCAGGTTTGGTTTTTTGTTGTTTAGTTGTAAGTTTCAAATTTTTATTGCAACTTACAATTTTTAAAAAAAATGTTTTTCAACACAGTGCACATGGTTATATATATCTGAAAAAAATTTTTGCAAAATAATAGTCTAGCCACATGCAGTGGCATTTATGATCAACTAGACTTTATTTAACATGGCAAATCATAGGTATACCCTTTTTACATTCACTTGATAAAGACATCCTTTAATGTAAGTCTTGGTGTCTCTGTATTTACACACTACTCCCTAAAGCATCAATGTTTAAGGATGCATCATGCTTTATTAGATATGACTTAGTGATACTAAATGATTTAATTGTTAAAGCAAAGAAAAAAACTCATCTCAGCAACTATATGCTTGTTTTTTCATCTAATTTAATTATCACTAGTGTTCCTCATAGCTCAGTTGGTAAAGAACCTGCCTGCAACTCAGGAGACATGGGTTCGATTCCTGGGTCAGGAAGATCCCCTGGAGAAGGAAATGGCAACCCACTCCAGTATTCTTGCCTGGAGAATCCCATGGATAGAGGAGCCTGACAGGCTCCAGTCCATGGGGTCATAAGAGTTGGACACGACTGAGTGACTTTCACTACAGTGTTAGTTTTAGTTCCATATCTAACTGAACCCTGTCCCTCAATTTTTATTCTGAAAACCCTACAAGAAAGTTGATAGAATAATTTTATAATGGATACTTTACATCCTTCATCTGTATTTGTGAGTTGTTAGCATTTTGCCACTTTTGCATTCCATTGTTTTATATATGTTCATTCTTCCCCCAAATCATCATAATTTTCAACTAATTTGTAGAACCACAGTACTTCATTCCTAAACATTTCAGATATATTTCTTAAGAATAAAGGTATATTCCTGGGGTTTCCGTGGTGGCTCAGTGGTAAAGAATCGACCTGCCAATGTAGAAGACGTGGTTTCAATCCCTGATCCAGGAATGTCCCACATGCTGTGGAACAGCTAAGCTTGTGTGCCCTGGAGTCCATGCTTCACAAGAGATGCCACCACAGTGAGAAGCTGTCACACCACAACTGGAGAGGAGTTCCAACTCTGCAACTAAAGAAAAAGCCCACACAGCAATGAAGACCCAGCACAGCCAAAAATGAATAAATAAAATGTTTAACAAAAGAATAGGGTATATTCCTACGTAACAAGAGTATTTTCATATTCAAGAAATTTAACATTGAGATAATAAATGATATCTAATGTACAGTGCCTTTCAGATTTCCCCAGGTATCATCATAATGTGCTATAAACTGTTTGCTTTTCTTAATCCGGGGACCATGGATCATGTATTGCATTGTTAGCTCTCTTTAATCTCAAACAGTTTTACCACCTCGCTTCTTGTTTTGTTTCTCTGTTTTTATGACATGGATTTTTTTTTTTTAATAATCCAGATTAGTTGCATTTTAATATTAGATTCATATGATTATTTTCCTTTGGCTCATTTCAGATTAAACTTTTTTGGCAAGAATATTGTATAGGTAGTGATGTGTCTTTCTGGGGCATCATATTTGGAGGCCCATAAACTGCTTGTTCTCTTATTGGTGATACGAAGTTTGATCATTTGACTAAGGTGGTGATTGCCAGGTTTCTTCATATTAGTACTTGTTATTTTCCTTTGCAATTAATAGGTGAACTGTGGGATGATAAATTTGAAGCTAATGTGAATATCCTGTTGCCCAAGAGCCTTGCACAATAGTTTCAGCATGCGTTGGTAATTTTTACTTGAACCGTGATTTTCTGATTCTGTCATAAATTCTGTATTTATTAGCTGTTATACTTCCATAAAGAAGAGTTTTCTTCTCTCTCTTCTTAGCTTCTTTACTTTTTTCTTTTTTTAAAAGTGTCATTGTGGACTCGTGGACTTTCTAATTTAATTTTGATTGACTCCATTTCAGGTTCTCTTTTATATTTCTCCAGTGAATAAATTGGTGGGTGCCCTGATGACTGTGTTATCCCTTTTTCCAGGTAAGAGGGTAGCAGTTTCCACTCTCTTACTGGACCTTTGAATGATAAAACTTTTCAAGGACAAAGTGGTTAGCGTTACTGTCTGTTTTAATAGGATATTTTCACTTTGGCAATAGATTTCTCTTTTGTCTGAGATTTTCTTGTTTTCAATTAAAATTTGAGCAAGCATAGCTCATTAAAATTTTCTATAGGAGTTCCACTATTTAAAGCAGAATACACAGCTCTTCGGAGAAGGCAATGGCAACCCACTCCAGTACTCTTGCCTGGAAAATCCCATGGATGGAGGAGCCTGGGGGGCTGCCGTCTATGGGGTCGCACAGAGTCGGACACGACTGAAGCAACTTAGCAGCAGTAGCAGCAGCACACAGCTCTTATCTTCTAATATCTTATTGTAAGCCAAACTGTTCTCCAATATTGTATGTTTTAGGCATGATTGAACATGGACTCAGTGACAGTTCTCAGTACAGACCCCGAAAGAGTATGTCTGAAGATGCTGGGCTTCAGGAAAGTAATCCCCCTGCAGATGAATTTGTTTGTATGCCTGCTTCTGACATTTCAAATACCAACTTAGGAACTGTCAAGAAAATCCTAGGAAACCATGGAGGAGATGCAGCCAATAAGACTGAAGAACCTTTGTTCCAGGTAGAAGATGATAGCAGTGAACAAGAAGCCAGTGATAGCAATCAATATCTGAAACCTCCTTCTCGCCCATCTCCAGAGTCTTCAGAAAGTGACTGGGAGACCTTAGACCCTAGTGTCCTAGAGGACTCCTCCTTGAAAGAACGAGAACAGGTGGGGTCAGAACAGACAAACTCATTTCCAAAGGACTCTTTGCCCTCAGATAGTCCTCCGATTACTGTTCAACCTCAAGCTAATACCGGCCAGGTGGTCCTGATACCAGGGCTGATTTCTGGCTTGGAGGAGGACCAGTATGGCATGCCCCTGGCCATCTTCACAAAGGTAAGAGTTAATGTCCTTTATTAATGCCCATACGGATAGCACAAAATCCTTTCAGAATTTAACTCTCAGTGTTGAACACATTTAAGTCTGCAAATTCTCATTGAAAACTGTAAAATAACATAGCAGATGTGTAGTACTATGACATCGGTGACCATGATGTAAGACTGCAGGGGATTTTGATTAGAGTTTGGAAACTGAGGTCAGCAATCACTGTGTTTGGTGTGTTTTTCATTAGTCAGGTTTACCTTCAGGGGAAAAAAGCAAACCAGCCTTGATTACATTTAATGAGTGTATATTAAAATACCATAATTCCAAAAGCTGCAATTTTATAAGAAAGAATAAAAAGCTTAGATGGCTAACAAATATTAGTACCCTTCATAGATATAATACACTGTTTTGGTTAACTGGCCTTAAAAATTAATCTTTAATCTTTTTATGGAAAAACATACAAAACATATTTCTAATTTTTTTAAATAATTTAAACACACCATAGTAAAACAAATTGCATCTTTGATTCAGTATCTTATTTCTAGGATATCATTTCTTTATGTCAGTAATACTATATTAGAATTCTGGAAGCTACATTTGAGGGTTTTTTTTTTAATCCTAACAGGAGAAGCTACTTTATTGTCATTCATGAATTATTTTTTTTTATGAATAAGATGAAAAGTCCCATTTCATTTTTCAGTCAAAGTATTTATTACCTTCCTACGTGCCAGGCCCTGTATATTAGAATTCTGGAAGCTACATTTGAGGGGTTTTTTTTTAATCCTAACAGGAGAAGCTACTTTATTGTCATTCATGAATTATTTTTTTTTATGAATAAGATGAAAAGTCCCATTTCATTTTTCATTCAAAGTATTTATTACCTTCCTACATGCCAGGCCCTGTACTAGGTTCTAAATTCTTGTATCCATGGCTTTTCAGTTTAACCATGAAAGACAGATACATATGTCCGGTAACTAGAACAAAGCTTATGTTTTTCTCTAAATACCTTCCTTTATGCTGGAAGTAAAACTTTATATTGGAAAGAAAATGGATAGCACTGACTTGCCATCAATTCTTCTCCACTATGTGATAAATTCTTTCTGGGTTTATCCAGTTTTACAAATAAGTACTTGCCCCAAGTCAGTATTGCTGAATAGTTAGCAGAAAATGCTGTCTTTGTTCATTTTGTGGTCTGTTAGGGGATGCTGAAATTATCTTAATTGGTTTCTTGATTGAACTAATGCATATTTGCTTATAACTGGAGTTTAAGAGCCTGGGGAGAAAACTCTGGGCCCTCAGACTACTAAGTATACTCAACAGCCACAAATTGTGGGTTTTCTGAACTCACATGTGGGTGTCATGACCGCCTATACTTTTGGAGCCCTTTTGGGGCTTCACCCACCCACTCTAAATTTTATCATTGTAGAAATACCAGGAGGGAGATTAACTGGGGTGGGGGATTTTGGTTTTGTCTGCGAGGTCGCTGAATTAAACAAAGCAGTGTTAGTGTGTTGTATGTGCTGTTAATAAACTGTTTGGCAGAATATTCTCTTTGTGTACGTTATACCAGTACTGAATATATGATGGGCTTACCACCATCATTATGGTAAATTAAACATTTTCCTTTTAGGTTTTCTGTTTTATTATGTAATGATTCAAATCTAACTTTTTAAATCACAGTTTCAAATACAATTGCTGATTCTTTGATGTCAGCAGCTTTGGAATATGAAATATACTTAAAAATGAGTTGCCTTTAGGCTTTTCTTTTTTCCTTCTCTTGAAGATCTTAAAAATACTTGTAGAGAAGACCTCGATTAGCAAAGCATTCTGAAAAGTCATTTCAAATGTAGCCAAAGAGAAGCTTGGATGCCCTCAGAGTATTGCTAAAGTAAGATAGCAAGCTTTGAAGAGAATAATGAGTTGACTGGACCACTGACTGTGTTAGCATATGAAAGTTATGCTTGGAGAGATTCCAAAACTCCTTATTTCCAGTCTTCTCTCTGGGACTGGAAACTGATGGTGCATTTCTTCTCAGTCTTAGAGATGAGGCTTATTACATAAACACTGTAGATACCAGACTCTCAAATATGCTTGAACTTTTCCTGAGAGCTGAATTAGGGAGGTAAGGAAGAAACTAGGTTGCTGAGGGAGAGGAGATGGGACTAGTGGCAACTTTAGGATAGGATTCCGTGGGATGAGAGGAGGGCAATGAGGGAACCAAAGGAGAAAGATGAAAATTTAGAAAATGTACCCATGTATTCATAGATATCTATGGGTGATTTTAGGTATTTACTAAAAAAATTTTTTTTTTCAAAGTGACGTTTTTAACTTTTAAAAGAAGATAAACACCTACTTCTTAGTTTTTTAAATTACATGTATCTGGTACTTTTTAAAATTTAGTAATAATTGCCTCCACCAGAAGATCACTTAATTTAGAATTCTCTTGTTTCAGTCTGTAACTGTTATAGTAAAACAATAAACTTATGAAAGAATTAATAGTAAATGTAGTTGGAAACCAAAATTTTTTCTGCTTCATGTATTAAACTTCTTTATATATTGCTTCTGAGTTTATATCTGGTTTGCTTGCTTACAGGGTGTCATATTCAAATTTAGGGAACCTACAAATAACTTGACGACTAGTTAAAAAGTAGTAGATGCATGTTATTGAGTTTTATTTAAGTGGCACTAAAATTTTTCCCCCTCTTCTCTCAACATTATTTTTAGTTATATCATAATTTTGCATGAAGTTGTGTTTTATTATTCCTCTGTAGTTTTCTGGTTTTGGCTATTCTGCAATATATAAATTCTGTGGATGGATATCTACATTGTTTCTAGTTTCTGGTTACTACAAATAACACTTCTAGTAAATTCTTATTCAGTAATCTTGGCTGTATACATGCAAGCATTTCTTTAGGAGTCAGTGCTTAGAAATGGGAATACTGGATTATAAGGAATGGGGAGATTAGCTTTACTAAAATAATTCCAAACTGTTTTCTAAAGTGGTTGTGACAATTCCTATTCCCACAGCAGTGTATTAGAGTTCCCTTTGATTCACATTCTCACCAATGGTTGTTATTGTCAAACCTCCTAATATTTAGCCAGTCTGATGGTATCTCGTGGCTCTTAATTTGTCCTTTTTTCAGTAGTCACTGTTGAGGCTGACCATCTTTTCATATTCTTGGTAACCTTTTGAATTTCCTTTTGTGTGGTAATTGTTCAAACCTTCCAGATTGTCTCCCTCGTTGTCATGATTTGTGAGACTGCAGGCTTTGTAGTTTTGACTTCCACATTTTGGGTTTTGTCTGCCTGGCATTTATTTCTGTGTATGTTGAGGAAGGGCGTCTGTCTCTGTGCTTCGTTGCTGCTTCATCCATGTATCTGTCTATCCTTGGGTCAGTCCCGCACTGTGTTAATTACCATTATGTCGTGTCAGGCAGAGAAAAGGCTTCTCCTCTTACTTTGTTCTTCAAGAGTTTCTTAGCCCTTTGCATTTCCACATCAATTTCAGGATCAACTTAGGTTCTTACTGAAGATTTAAATAGGGGTTACCTTTAAGTGCTAGATAGAATTTGGAGAAAACTGACATCCCTACAGCAAGGAGGCTTGCGGTTCACAAACATGCTTATCATCTCAGACCTGAGAGATAAGAAAGTGGCAGTTGGGCCTAATGACATGGTAGCCCTTCCCAGGTCACAATGGAGAAGGCAGTATGCTTTTGAAGTGCTGTAACAGATCAGCTCACAACAGGTCTTCCAGATTTGCCAAGCTGAGTTGTGTTTTTTAATGCCATCTGTTTCTTAGTTTTAATCGTGACCAAAAAACAAATATAAGATTTATCTGCTTTACCATTTTTAAGTGCACAATTATGTGATTTTAAGTGTATTCTCATGGTTGTACTACAGATCTCTAGAACTTTCTCATCATGCAAAACTGAAAGTCTGTATTCTTTAAACCACAGTTTCCCATTCTCCTCTCACCCCAACCCTTGGCACCCATCATTGTTTCTATGAACTTAACTACTTTTAAATACTTACATAAGTGGAATCATACAGCATTTATCTTTTTGTGACTGGCCTATTTCACTTAACATAATATCCTCAAGGTTCATCCATGTTGTAGCGTATGACAGAATTTCCTTCCTTCTTAAGGCTGAATCATATTCCATTGTATGTATATACCACATTTTCCTTATCCATTTATCCATCAGTGGGCACTTGGGTTGCTTCTACATTTTGGCTATTGTAAATAGTGCTGCTGTGAACATAGGTGTGCAAATATCTCTTCAGTTTCTTTTTTTTGGCCATTATATACCTTAGCTCAAATATAGAAGTTAAACACCCTAGAAAAGTGGAAAGTGGTGGTGTGTTTGGGTGTAGAGGCTGCTGTATTTTAATGTACTCAGACTCTTGCTGCCACTGTACACTGAAGACCTTTAAAAGATTTAGGCTAGATTGACCATCAGTAAAAGTGATGATGCTAAAATTTTAAGGTTATTTTGAACTACAGTTTAACATAATTTTATAAATCTGCAGTGCTTTCACATGGTTCAATATTCAGAAGGTTCCAAAGCATCTATAATAATAAAAAATCTCTCTCATTCCATTCCCTGCTACTCAGAGAATAGCAGGAAATTTGTTCCCCTCTCCATTGGCAACCAACCTTACCTAACCTATGTCTTTTTTTTTAAACAAAATATTCCGTGGAGATGAACTTCATCACGTACTGCAGGGTACTCCATCATATAGAAGAACATTTGTTCATTGCCCTAGTCATGAAGAGTTAGGATTCCTGTCTTTTGCAATGATAAGTAATGCTGCAATAAGTAACTTTTTACAAATCTCACATATGAACAGGTGTATCTGTGGGATAAATTGTAAGAAGTAAAATACTGGGTCAAAGAATATGGATATGTGTAATATTTTAAGGACTGTATTTCTTCATTTTAAAAAAAAACAAAACTTTCAACTATTGACTTTCAAAAAAAAAAAACCACATTCTTAGTTTTCATGCAACTTAGCCAAGAATTCCACTGCTGACAACAGACTTTTCTCCTTTAACAGAATCAGTTGTGAAATGCAGTACTATGAGCAATTGAATCAATCTTTGTAAATATAGGTAGTTCTGAAAGTGCCCCTATCAAGGATTCTCAGTCCTGGCTGGGGGAGTAGGAGTATTAGGGGGAGTCCATATAAAGTTTGAAAGAGCATTCAGCATTGTGGTATTTATGTTCAGAAACAAGAAACACGTTTTTAATACATAGCACACAAGGTGAAGTGTGACCCTTGAGTCTACCAGCTGTTTGAGTGATTTGGCATGAGGAGCATGGATCCTTTCCACCTTTAGTCACAAGAGGGCGTCGGTTGAGAAACACTATATACTGAATATGTGTAATGCATAGACATGGGTTTATTTTTGCTGCTTCTACTAGTTCACATTTTATAGAGGAGAGGAAAACATTGTCAAGAAGGAGAATAAAACCAGTTTACCAGACATGTATTCCAACTTCTGCAAGTCTTCTCTCATGTCTTCTCCTAATAGCTGGCTGTATGGTACATCCTAGACATAGGGAAGGACATGAAGTAGCAGAAGTGGTGTCTCCTTCCCTCAGAGAAAGTCTCATGATGGAAACAAGACATTATCTGGATAACTGTGGTTCAGTGTTTTGTTTTGTTTTATTTTTTTTAAGATGATTAAAATAACAAATAAATAAAACTGTCATCGAACTTAATTGAAAACAAATTCAGGAGTTCAGCAAGTCCTCCCTCCTGGCTTTATACACAAATTATGCCACTTGTTGAGATCTATCTTGATTTAGAATCTTTCAGCAAAAATTCCATTTCCTCCTTCAGTGCATCATTCCAGTGTTAGCATTCCTTTTTTCTCAGGATAGAGGCTTCTTTTGTACACTTAACTCCCTGCTGTGGTTTGGCAGTTAAAATATAATTTTCAGGGCAATGGTATTTTCAAATGCAATTCAACTGGAAATTTCAAATACACAACTACTGGCATGGTCATTTTTGCTTTGAACATTTAATAGCAAATATCTTGAAATACTGTATTATTTTAAATTATAAGACAGTAAAATAATTGCTATGCAGTGCTTTGCTATTCTTACAAGAGTACTTTGGTGGTTATGTGCAAATGCCTGTGTTTTAAAATTTTACTGGAAGAAGGAACAGCTTTCTACTAAACAGCATGCTTTTTAGTGGGCTTAATATTAGTACTTCATTCCTAAATGAAAAAAAAAAAAAAAACCCTAGCTTGTTAGTTACAGTGGAAGCTTTTAAATTGAACTGAAAGCCTAGTGGTCACTCAAGACAACCTTCATATTAGACCACCTTGCCAAGATTTGACCATTCATGGAGCAGGTTAGCAATTAACTGGCCTTAATACAGTCAGGACCTGTGGTTGTTATTATTGGTATATTACTGTGTTGAGTCAAAGATCAGCTGTGTTAGGAATAGCATGGGGTTGGGTGAAGATTGGGAGTTTCCTTTCCTACTATTAGCTGTCTAGGATTGATTAGGGGCTTCCCTGGTGGTTCAGTTAGTAAATCCACCTGCAATACAGGAGACCCAGATTCCATCCCTGAGTGGGGGAAATCCCCTGGAAAAGGAAATGGCAACCTGTTCTAGTATTCTAGCCTGGAAAATCCCATGGACAGAGGAGCCTTGTGGGCTACCATGGCCCAGTCCATGGGGTCGCAAAGAGTTGGACACAACTTAGTGACTAAACCACCAAAACACCAGCCGTTACGAGAGACATGGCTGTTCCATTACTTTTCTAACATTTTCTTCTCTTGTAATTCATAGGGATATCTGTGTTTGCCTTATATGGCACTGCAGCAGCATCATCTTCTCTCTGATGTCGCCATTCGAGGATTTGTTGCTGGAGCTACTAACATCCTTTTTAGACAACAGAAACACCTCAGTGATGCCATTGTGGAAGTAAGTTGATGTCTGAGTGCAAGTCCTTGACTGCTGGTCCCTGTTTTCTTTTTTAAATGAAATTTGGGGCATAGTAATAACACTGATAGTGGTCATAATTGCTTCCTTTGCCAGGCATTCTAAGCACCTTAGGTATATGAACTTATCTAATTTTCATAACAACCTGTGAGATAGGCATTGTTACTGTCCGTATCACACCTGCAGAAGCTAAGGAACAGAGGGAATCAGACAGCTGCTAAGTGGATGAGCCAGGATTCCTACCGAGGCTATCTAGTCTTAATATAGTCTCACAATAAAAGTGTGTTTATTATTTAAATAGTTTAATATGCCCCAATATCAAGCAGAAGGAGCTAGAGATAAACATTTGATATCTTATTAATATAGAAGAAGTATAAATAATTTGTTAACTTTTACAATTAAAATTATTTTTACAAATGGGTGGGGGGTATTTCAGCCACACTAAGGTTTCTGTAGTTCCTAACAGAAAGTACCAGAATGTGCTTCCTGGGGAAATGTTTATAATACAATAAATTAAAAATCTGGGATTCAAAGCTATATGGATCCCAATATTGAGGGAGAAAAATACATATATTATACCTTCCAAGACAGAAGGATATAGATGAAAGGACCTCAGAGTTTTATTAAACATTGTTACATTCTAGCTCTGAAGTTGGTTGGCAAGCTGATGGGTATTTATTATTATACTTTAAAACTAACCTGTAAGTTACATATAGTTCTTTCTGTCAAGTATTACATAATATATCCCAAAGTATCTGTGCAGTCAAAGCAAAAATTTTTAGTAATTGTATTTAATTAATTGTATTCATTTCTGTATGATAAAGGTGATTTTTACTGTACATTTCTATATTTTCCAAAATATTTGTCAACATGAATCACTTTTATAATTCAAAATTAAGTATTTATGCATGTAAGAACAAAAACTGAGCATTTTTTTAAATAATGAAAAATAAGAAACAACTTAAGAATAAAAACTCTGTCTCTTTCTTAGGCTCATCTTTTGAGAAAGCTATTATTCATATTTTTTATTTCCAGCTCCAACTTCCCAGTAATTACTCTTTAAAGTGTGGTATGGATGTCTGCATGAATGCCCAGACTCTGACTTGTACCTGGGTACCCTCTAGGTAGAAGAAGCTCTGATCCAGATCCATGATCCAGAACTCAGGAAGCTGCTCAACCCAACCACTGCAGACCTAAGGTTCGCAGATTACCTAGTGAGGCATGTGACTGAGAACCGGGATGATGTCTTCCTGGACGGCACGGGCTGGGAGGGAGGTGACGAGTGGATCCGAGCCCAGTTTGCAGTCTATATCCATGCACTGTTGGCCGCCACACTGCAGCTTGGTAAGGAGTTCACAGTCACTTTCTCATTTTGTAATTCTGGATGCTTTGAATTGCATAAGAAATAAAGTGATCAAAAAAATTACCTGTCACTCCACACATATAGAATTAACTACTCTTCACAATTTGAGTAATTCATATCCTTCTAGACCTTTTTCTCCAAAGGTCTAGAGAAAAAGAAGGAAATGGCAGCCCACTCCAGTACTCTTGCCTGGAGAATCCTATGGACAGAGGAGCCTGGTGGGCTATAATCTATAGGGTTGCAAAGAGTTGGACACGACTGAGCGACTAACACACACAGACCTTTTTCTATGCATGTTTTGGATTTTAGTTTTGTAGTGTTCATGGTAGTCCTTTTGCAAACATGGATCCCAGTTTTCATGTTTTTTATAACTTAGTTTTTCTTTATAACATAAACATGTATCAGGAGAGTAAATGCAGATCTTCATCACTTTTTACATGACTTAATATTCCACTATATGGAAGGATATATCAGTAGTTGAGTGCTATTTATAAACACTGCTTACATTTTTTTAAGATATATGAGGGATGGAAAAAATATTTTAAAAAACAGAAATCATTGGAGATCACATTCTGAGTGATTAAACCTTCAAATTTATCCATTCTATCCCTATTAAATGGTTAAAATGGATCAGGCAAACATAGAATCACTCCTGTGTTAAAATTCTCATTCCCCATAGAAACGAATATATTCAAAGAAAAAATGAAGCTCTGCAATGAGCTTTCACACCTGGGATACCTGCCACCCTGCACATTAGCAAATCAGTAGATTTGGTAGTGATGGTGGTGAGGTTGTTAAAAGCATATAGAACTTCTGTTTTTCCTCCTCCTCAATGATCTCTCCAACTGTTTCCAGGTTGCTTTTTTAAAAATTGTGGTGAAATCCATATAAAATTTGCCATTTTAACCATTTATTAGTGTCATTAAGTCCCTTCACGTTGTGGTGTCAGTAGATGTTTAAATCAACCCCGCTGCTGCCACCTCCTAGATTTAGTTCTTCAAGTATATGTAGAGTTCTAAATCCAGGCTTCAGGCATGTTCTTCATTAAGAAATCTATGGAGTGACTCCTTATTTGTTAATGGGTTGTTTTTTTTTTAAATGTCTGCCTCTTCTACAATTGTAGCAACTGAGATCCCCAAATTAAATCCTCTAACCCAGAATCACTCAGTTTATCTAGTAAGAAAACCCGAGTCTTCACCAGTCATGTAAGTTCCTGAGTAACTAATTCGCTTCATAAAAATGTTTTCCTGAGTACACAGTAGCTACGTACTTTCAGAGGGAACATTTAACATGTGTGGAGACCCACCCTTGTTTTTTTTTTTTTGAGCACTTAACATCTACTAACTCATTTTATCGTCCCAACAATCTTAGAGGTAAATACCATGTCATCCTCATTTTACAGACTTGAGAAAGTGAGGCACAGAGAGGTTAAATAACTTGCTCTTCCCCCTGGTAGGAGACTGAGCTGGACTTCAACCCAATTAGTCTGGTTCACACCCAAGCTTTTAAAGGAAATTTAGCCCAATGAGCTGATTGATGAATATGTTCTTAAAAGCACTTCCTTATGGTGCATATAGAACCATGAATGTTCTTCTCTTCCTCTCCCAGCAACGAAAGTCATGTGTTTCACCTTCAAAGCAAGCAACTTGGAATTAATATATGAAGCAATAGCCATTTGAATCAGTTACCCTAACCTTTTCTGCTCTTCCAAGTAGAAGAAGCACTGTGGATTGAAGCTTCCTCTTGATAGAGATGAAGCCAGAAAGTTTTATGCATTAAATATATGAAAATCCCCTTATTAAGTATTTTGACCGTGAAATGCTTGGACACTCAAGAGTGAGTTTCACCGAATAGTAAGATAAAGAAAAAAGAATGAAAAAAAAAAAAAGAATGGCTAAAAAGAACCAATTATTCTTTCTAATTTCCTTTCTTAGAAAATGGTATTTGTGAAAAGATTTTTAAAAAAATACCCTAATTGCCTACTCCATATATATATGTCAGTATGTTTAACCCACTCTAGTCTGTAGTTTTTAATAAATAGTACTATGCCTCCTTACCTTGGTGAGGAGAACATGGAAATATTTTGGAGATTTTAGGAACCTTAGAAAATATTTGGCTCAAGCCCCTTATTTTCTAGTAAGAAAAATGAAATTCCAAGTGATCAAGTGACTTAGCAAAGGCCACATAGCTTCTTACTAGGGTTTTGGAACTTGACCCAAGTTTCCTGACATCTGGTAGGATTTCTCCCCAAGAAAGCAGCAGCGGACAGGGAGGCTAAAGCTATTTCTTTACTGTTATTGGTTATTAATCTTTATAACCCTGACTGGCTACAGTCCAGCCCAACTTTCAAATATTTACTTGACAGATAACGAAAAGATCTTATCGGACTATGGGACGACCTTTGTTACAGCCTGGAAGAACACTCACAACTACAGGGTCTGGAACAGCAACAAGCATCCAGCACTTGCAGAAATAAATCCGAAGTAAGCACATCCTCTACAGGGTGATAGAGGTGGTTGACTTACTAAGGGTTTCTGAATAAAGAAAATCATGTCTCAACTCTGATGATACTGTGAATATCTTCAAGAATCCCTTAAATAGATTTTTTATAAAAAGAGGCTCCCAAGTACAGGGAAGCAGCTGAAAACTGCTTCCCTATTCACACTTCTTAATCACAAAGCACAAGGCATTTTGGAAGCACTAACCTTTCTCCCAGCTTCCAGTATAATTCGGAGATGAAAGTCCTAGCCTGTGGGGATGCTCATATGTCATATCGCCTCAGCAGAATGGTCAAGCGAGATAGAAGCCTTGAGGGAAATAGCACTGGTTAAAACTGAGAGGTTATTGTAAAATATGAAGTGTGAACAACTAAAGTCAATATTTGAATTCCTAGATAATCGGTAAAATCTGGTGCCATTTCCATATCAGATTCTAAGATCCAACAAAATTTAATACCTGTCATAATATTGACTGTTGACTGGGCAAAGAATTTATTCCACATAAAAGGCATTTAAATGTGCTAGAGAATTGGGCCATTAAGAAAAAATACCATGTGAATGGGAGAGTGGAGTCTAACGAGATCAGTTGATATAATGTGTACATATTGGGAACTTCTAAATTAAAGGATTTTAATTTCTTTATCATATAAGTATACATTGAACTTTTGTTTTCATTTGTGGTTTTTTGTGTATGTGTTTTTTAATTAATTTTTATTGGAGTATCATTGCAGCACCATGTTTCACTTGTATTTTAAACTTCTTCATGAAAATATGACAAAAATCAACAGTACTGGTTACCATATTATTTAGAAACTAGGGTAATCTTGACTTGGGAATGTGCTTTAGTGGGGCTGCACACACAAAATCCAGGGATTTATGTCATTGTAACTTGCAGAAGCATCTGCAAGGAAGCAGGGCTTGGGAGAACATGTCTGCTAAACTTATCCATCAAGAACCGTGACTAGGTTCAGGCAGTTTTAGTGACTTTAGTCCTCATACTGGGCTATGGCAGAAACCTAGATTGCCATTTGGTTGTGGTAAAAACATAGAGAATTAAAAGGCAAATACACTGTAATGGAATTAAATGAAAGGACTAAGTTCAAAGTTTTCTCCCTCTCTAACCACAAGGTCTGTGTTCTAAAAAGTAGTGAAGAGAAACAGATGTGAGCTTGCTTGCCTGTGGCGCTGGTTGTAGTGGTTGGTGCTGGGGGAGTGACCGTTCACAGGTCTGTCTCCTCCCCTGGGGCTCTGTTAGCCTGGACAGATCTTTACTCAGCTGCCGCATCTGCTGTAGTGCCTTTAACTTGAAGCAGCACTACAGATTTTAATGCAGGTCCTTATGAGGATTAGCTGGCATGTGTTTTAAAGGATTGTAAAAACAGTACTTTTAAAACTATGTAAATAATTGAGGTTATTTAGGTTGAGGAGAAAGAAAGCTGAAGCAAAAGACCAGAAAATTAGATAGGGAAATTATGCAGATACGATAGCCAGCAGGTTTTCAGCATTTTCACCAAATTAAAAACAAGAAATGATAGGCTTCAGCTGTCATCAGGGGGTATAATTTAGAAACATTCAAAACTAAATGTAAGGTTTGAGATCTTTGAAACCCTTTCTTCCACTCCTGAAGATTAGAAAATTAAGTCCTCTCAATGCTTTCAACTGATGATTCGGAAATCCAGAAAAAAGAGAGGTTGTTATGTATGCTTAATGTGACCAATAAATAAATTTGTTATCATTTGAAAAGCCATAATAGCATTTTTTAATTTTAATTGAAGGCTAATTACTTTACAACATTGTGGTGGTTTTTGCCATACATTCACATGAAAGAGCCACATAATAGCATTTTGATGTTTTAATAAGTGGCTGCAAATTTCACCAGGGTCACTTTCTTTGTTAGACATTGACAGAAGGACCCCTGCCCTGTGTATGAGTTAAGAATCTGAATGTTTACTGAGTCCTTGTTTTATAGTGTAACGTTGATCAGGTTACCTGATTTTTATAAATACTGTTTCCCTAAGCTCTGCACTTTGAGTTGCTTTTCTGATAACACAGATTAAATCGTCCTTTAACCAATAGCACCCATTTATAAGATGGCCAGAATCAAGCCATGGCCAAAGTCAGGGATTCTAACTCTGACTGTCCCAGGAGCTTTTTTAAAATATTGGTGCTTGGGCCCCACCTCAGACCAAAGAAGAACATTAGGGCGGCACTAACACAAACCAGCCCCACCCAAGAAAAAAAACACGTATTTTACAAGCAGAGTACATAAGCTGAGAGAGACTCCCGTGACTGTGAGTGGAGAGCTGTGATCAGAACCCTATTTCCGGTATCGCGTTTGGAGCACCGCCGCCCGCCTGAGTCACCCCAGTGCAGTTTCCTGATACTTCCTTGTGATAACTCTGTGGTGCAGCTTTGTTGGTGAGAGACCCATAGTCTAAACTCAAACTTTGTTTTACAGCCATCCTTTCCAAGGACAGTACTCAGTGTCAGACATGAAGTTAAGATTCTCACAGTGAGTATTTAGGGAAAATCCTAGGAACATTCTTCTGTCTGAATTCATGCCATGTGTTTCATCGCTAATTGGGAATTGTTTTTCTCCACTTCATAGACTTGTGCTTCAAATAGTAACCAAATATGTGCATAACGTTCTGTAGCTCAGCAGTGTGTATGTTTCAAAATGAAAACACTGCTGTTTCATGGAGAATGGTGTGAACTAATAGCAGGATTTGCCATTTTTATTCTGGTGAAGTAACTTTAGCAAATTATGACCATACGAATTATGTATAACCATACATCCTTATGTCCTTATACCACTTTCTGGCTCATCTGTATATTCTTTTAAAATTTTCTGAAAATTTCTGTACTTAAAATATTAGTAGATTAATTTATGTATAACAAATAATGAATTATTTATCTTCTTTTCTCAATAATTCTGATTTGGGGGATGATTATAGAGTGGTTAATGTATATGTGAGTAATTTTTTTTTTAACTGTACTTACTTAACATTTCTCTCCTTTACTCAGTTCTGTTCAAAACAGTGAACGTGGCAAAAAACTTGGAAACGTCATGGTTACAACAAGTCGGAATGTTGTACAAACAGGAAAAGCTGTTGGTAAGGATGTCTTAGGCAGGAACAGATTGGAATCATAAAACACCTCTTCCCTATCCTCAGTATGTCACTGATAAAAACATAAAGTTGTAGACATGTGTGTATCACATAATGGTGCGAGATGGTTGAATATACAGAGGTTTTTCTTTTTAATTTTGGTCTTATTCATTAAAACAATTCTTGTGACACTAGATAATGCCAAACCAAGTTTAGCAAATGTTGTCATATCTGTTCTGTTATCAGGAGTCAAACTTCTCTGGATTTCTCCCTCTGTCCCCTGAGCTGCCCACAGTTCTTTATAAATAGTAGAGTATTATTTACATAATAATAAAGTAGGCATTAGGAGCAGCTGTCTTTTAAGGTAGTATCACACAGTAAAGAAGATCAGTGAAAACCAACAATTGTTTTTATGAAAAGATCACATTAATGATACTTCTGCAGACTAGTAAAGAGAAAAAGAAGATACAAATGACCAGTATGGGGCATGAAAGAGGGGATACCACTACAGATCTTACAGAAATTAAAAGGCTAATAAGGGAATACTGTGAATAATCTTGTGCCAGTTTTTCAACTCCTTAGATGAAATCTACAAAATCTTTAAAAGACTCAAATTGCCAAAACCAATGCAGTAAAGAAATAGAAAATCTGAATAGCCCTAAATATATTAAATAAATTGAGTTAAAGTTTAAAGGCTTGCTACAAGTTTTTAAATATAATCTAAGCCCTGGTGACTTCACTTATGAATTTTATCAAACAGTTAAGGAATAATGCTAATTTTATACAAACTCTTTCAGAAAGTAATGGTTGAGGTAATACCTTCCAACTTGTTTTATGAAGGTGTATTACCCTGATACCAAAACCAGACAAATGGTTGTTAGGTATACCCTTCTGTACCTAGCTTTTTTCACTTTGGCTGTTTTGAAGATTATTCCATCTCTTTTTCTAAAGAAATTTCTTGTTCCTTCTTTCCTATATTTTTAACTGTTTACTTTTATACTATTTCAAACTTAAAGAAATAATGCAACAGTGTCCAAGGAACTCCCACTTATCTCAGGTGCCCAGTTATTTACACTCAGCTACTTTTGTCTTGGAATACCAGTATTAAAAATAGGGCCCATTTCATTCTTTAGCTTCTGAGAGCTAAGGGTTAGCTAAGGGTTAGCTGGCTAACCCTTACTGAACACAGCTCTAAAGCCCCGGAACTAGGTGATCTCTGTGCCAGGGCCCTCCTAGCTCTAATGTCCTGTACACCTGGAGATGGGTAAGAGGACTGTTCTACAGACTTAAAGACAAACGCGAGATACACAGTCCTATCACCCCTGTACAAAGGAATAGAATTAAATATATAAGCATTTATTTCCATACAATATTATACCTTTGACTTATTTTGAATTCTTTGTTTTTGGTAGAAAAACTCTACTTCATCAAAAGTATATGATGTCAGTTAATTTTTATTGATGCTGCTGATATTTAAATTCTATGACCTGTTCCCTTCTTCCACACTCCCCTCTCCAAGAACAGTGAGTGTGTATGATTCAACTTAAATAATTTCATTATAACATCAGCTTTTGAGATAATGCTGTTAAAAACAAAACAGACCTCAGGCAGATAGAGCTCTGTATGTTTTCATTTGGTGCACCATGGTTATTTATTTTATTTATTTGAGTGCTTTGGGCCTGTTGCAGGCTTTTCTCTGGTTGTGGCGCACAGGCTTAGTTGCCCCGAGGCATGTGGGATGCCAGGTCCCCGACCAGGGATCAAACCGTTTTCCCCCGCGTTGTAAGGTGGATTTCCAACCACTGGACCACCAGGGAAGTCCTGTGATGCAACATGATTTTAGATGACAATAACAAATTTCCCTAAGCAGCCTAACAACTCTTTCTTGAAGGTGGTTTTCAGTTATAAACTTGGATTTGGGTTACAGAGAGCACACAGAAGTTTGGTTTTGTTTTGTTGGGGTTTTTTTTTTTTTTTTGTAGCTCTCCAAGTCGTTTAAGAACCACTGGCCTGGGAAGAGTTTCCCAAAGACTTTCAAAATACTTAGGAGAGCAGTGTCTTATACCCAGACACTAGTCAGTTTCCTCTTAGACATTCCCATGATAAGGGATTATTTTGAAATTAGAAGTGTCAATTTTATTGTAGTACCTATTAACATATCAAAGTGTTGCAGTTAAGTAGCATTGGTTTTTTCAGTGTCTCTTAACAGAAGTGAAGACTGTTTTCCTTCTGTTTTTCCCCTCCTTTCCACTCAGGCCAGTCGGTTGGAGGAGCTTTTTCCAGCGCGAAGACAGCTATGTCTTCATGGCTTTCCACTTTCACCAGTTCCACTCCACAGAGTCTCACTGAGCTGCCTGACGGGAAACCCTGAGCCGAGCAAGCCACCCAGAAGCTGCTGTTGCTTTCTTAGGTTTTAAGCGTCCCCTGTCTGTCTGCTGCTCCCAGACTGTTCCTCTTCATCGGCCGCAGGTCCACAGCAGGGGACCAATAGGTCAAACTGTTTACATGGACGGTTGCCCTCTGTCTAAATGAATGTCATGGGACACTGAAAAGATGAAAACCACAACCGCAGCCGGGATGGCTTCCCAGGTTGGGGTTTAAATTGACTACGTTTATTTCAGTCTGAGCCTGATTAAAACACACAGTGAACCTTCTAATGAATTTTGAGTTCTGACATTATACATTTGTTTACTTTAGAAAAGTTTCTCCTTGATGTAAGTTTTGTTCTGTTGTTGCTGTTTGAATATCCAGATGGATATTTATATGTGCTAAGATTAAGTTATATTGCTCTTTTAATTTCTCTAAAGCGAGCCCTAAAATGTTCTGATAGTGTGGAGGGGCCATACAATCCAACCCTTTGCTGTTATTTTGCTGAGTTATATGAGGATTTTTTTGTTTGTTGGTTCTCTACCTACAAAACAAATTTGTCATTCACTTTCTCCTGGAAACCGTAGACGTCAGAGGTGGTAGTTCTGAGGATGGAGTGTTTTCTGATTTTAATTTATCATTTTCCCATCCTACGCACTTGCTTTGAAGTGTCAAGGAGTGTCACTGTGCTTTTTCCCTCTTGCTAATTGTTCAAGTAGATGTGCAAAGAATTAGCATGGTGATGGTTACAGCAGAGTTGAAACAGTTTAACTGTATTTAGGGCAAGACTTTTTTAAAGACCTAGGTGGGTTCTGTTGACTGTAGTAAGGTGGCAATCTTTACATGCATTTTTTAACCTGAAGTTTGTGCCTTCTATTTCTTCTTTTGAACGGTTTTCCATTGGGTGTTTACAGATTTAACAGGTTTTTTCTCAGTCTTACTCTTCATGAAGCTTTTCAAGGCACTTGGCCTTCTTCCTTCCCTGATAGAAAATCCTCATGTAATCAATGTCTACCCCCTTCCAAAAGCATTTATAAAAGAAAAGCAAGATGATCTGTAAATATTAAATAGAATTCTCATCTTGGCTCAATTTAGAAAAGCAAGAGAAGAAAACTTCAGCCATGACATTAGTCATGTTTTGTGAAGGACACCTGGGTTCATGTTAGACACAGGTGTGCTCACTACTGAAGGTTTTTACACAACTAGACCTCATGTAGCTGCCAGACTCAGCTCTCATTTGCTTTTCGAGGGGACTTTGATTGCGTGTTCTCAGGGAGTACTTACAGGCAACAGACTGCTTTTTCAGTAACAAAAGATACTTGGGAAACACATTGTGAATATAACCTACATTAGATGTGATGAGTATTGAGAAAATCGGGGGCCTAATTAGGGAGGACTCTTAATTATATTTGATTTATCCTTTAAGAAATGTTTGTGTAAGAAGCGCTTACTGGGGCATGTGAAATGAAGCATAGGGACATAATCTAAATATCCCTGAATTTTCCAATTTGTGTTTTAACACAAGTCCTATAAACCTAAAAGCATACTTCCCTTTGAGTATAATGATTTAAGAATTCATTGATGATAAAGGGCTTACTGTGGGAAATATTAATTTCACTTCTGCTAGGAAAGCTTTCTCAGGAAAATACTGTTTGAAGAGAAGAAGGTAGTACCAAACAAAAGTTTTAAAAGGTACTTTAAAGTTGCACTGAGATGAACATCTCGCTGTTTCATGAGGGCACTTCATTGGATAGAGTATGATAGTGTATCAGATAGCGTTCATAGTGCTGTGAGGGGTCAGCCAGCACACTGCTGGTTCATCCTTTAGTTTGTATGATTTGTACAATTGGGGTGAATTCTCATCTCTCATCATTCAAAGCAGCCCAATCCACTTTGGAATCCCACTGAAATAAAAATAGTTACATAAAATTTAACATTGCTTTGCTCTCACTCCCCATTTTAATGCACACCTTAATGGAACGTTCTCTTCACATTTCCAGTTAAGAGTTCCACCCTTACAGTGGTCATTTAACTGGCTTTCAACATAAAATGAGTATTTCAGAAGATAGAACTTCAGTCATAGAGACGGTCAAAAGACCATAACTATATTTATTCTTTCAGGTCCTGGGAGGTATGGGGGTCTTCAGGGAGTGCAGGCTGTCACATTGTTGGGACCCCAGGGCAGCCAGCACAGGTAGAGGCAGGAAGCCTGGCCCCTGGTCCTGGGGGCCTACGTGCTTCAGGTTTGGATTCTGGGCTCCGCTCAGTGGCAGCCTGGAAACAGTAGCTTCCTCCAGCCACTGGCTCTGTGAGCCATAGCAGCCAGCACGGGTGTGGCCACCTGTGGACATCTCACTGGTAACGATGTGTGCTTTGCTTGGCTACACAGTGCTTTCATCTGAGAACTAAGTGTGTTTAAGTAGGCCTGAGGGAGCTAGGGTCAGCCAGGCTTTTTCAGAGTGTGCCAGGCACACAGACTGCATCCACAGCTTGGTGGACACTTCTCTGCTATCCAGATGACTTAAAGATAGTGTTTGGAAAAAGTCCCTGGCTGGCTCTCATTCCTACTCGGCACTGTAATGACAATGACATAGGTAAGGGAAAGAGGGCTAAAGCTGGCCCAAGTGTCCCAGGCTAATGAATAGAAGTTGCCTGTCAAAGTATGTCTTGTGGTTATTTTGCATTTGCATTGGCTCATGTAACCAGGATGAATAGTCTGTACCCAAATCCATTAGTGATTTGCCAGCCCTCAGATCCTAAAACAATTCTTTTCTACTTTTTGCTTTAAGAAACACAGCAGTAATATTCTTGGCCAGCAGACCAGAGCATATGACCTGATCTCCTCAACCTTATCTTGCTTTCTGAGTCCTATATTAAGCATTGAATTTTTTTTTTTAGGATAATTTACTTAGAAAGGCAAGGAGGAAACAAACTTTGAAGGCAGAGATGAGACACTTATTGTTGCAAAGCCAAGAGACAGGTTCTTAAAGTCTGCATGAAAGTATTTTGGGAGCAGTATTTAATATGCTAAAGGATATAAGAGTTCTTTAATGAAGAAGTTAGATTTTTCATCTGCTAGTTACAAGCTGTAAAATGAAGCTTTGTCTCCCTGGCAGGCAAATTTTGGTTTGGTTTTGTGGAAGTTCAAGCCAGTGGTCCTTTTCCCTGAGGCGTGGTGATGAGTTTAGGAACACCCAGCTCTGGGAGAGGCCAGTGGACTAATCCTGAAACCTTGAACTATTATCTGCTTCAGCAGTTTTGGAAAGTAGCCTATTACGATGGTAGCCGATGAATGTGGCCTGTTATTCTATTGGGGAGTTGGTTGGGGCTCTGGAGATGGTATTGACACTGGCATGCTCTGACTGTGTGGCCAGAGATGGCACAGTATTCAGTCTGTCCACCCAGTTCTGTGGTATCCTCTAAACAAGATAGAGAACGCAGCCCTGGTTTCTAGAAGAAGATTGTCATTCCACATAGTGCAATGTGTCACTAGGAGCTTTTTCATTCCAAGTCTTTGGGCTTCGTAACATTGGAATTGTTTTTTCATAATTCCCAACATTCCATAAATATTTGTCAAAGACAAAGAAAAGGAATGTGTTTCTTTATTCTTTTCACATAAATAACTTTGTACACGTGACTTCCTGCTTTCATATGAAGGAGAAGAAACTAGCTCCCTTGTGTGGCAGCTCCAAAATTAAAAGATTGTTGCACGTATAAGGGGTTGAATATATTTTATAAAACTAATGCATTTGTATTTCTGTGCTGTTCTAAAGATTACCTTTTTACTTATATTAATTAAAGATATAGAAAGTATATATTTAAATCATGTAAATGTGACTCATTAGGGAGTTTCCTCAATCTTAATATTCATCAGCTTCTCACACTCATGTAGTATGCTGCTCAAATTTTTTTGTGTGCAATATGAACATTTGAACATTTCAGTCGGGTACTGAGCCAGAAAAGGTAATTGAAGTTTTTAGAAAACTTAACGTTGCTTAGAAAATATTTTGTTTTCTTGAAATAGTTATAATTTATAGCTGGAAAGATAAGATCAAGACTTATTTCAGGCCACTTGGTCACTGGTTCCTAAATTTAGGAAGCACTTGATTAACAAGTTGGTGAAAGCATTTAGTGGGTACAGGAATAGTTTAAATACTTGAGAGTAAAGGCTTTCCTCCAATCCCTTTCTAAGAAGTTTTAGCTTAGAAATCTTAGAAAGTTTTCTAAGGAAGTATAGCTGTGGTACATGTTCCGATCAGAAAGGTAGTTCCTCTTTGCTCTATTAGTTTTATAATTTGTACTAGTTATTTGTTTCTGTTGTCATTTATTTTTTTTAATGTTAAAATTATAAATCACATCTAATCATACTGAATTATAAAACTTCTACTGTATCTTTCTTTTAAGGAAAAATGAGAATAAATTATCCTGTTTGTCCTGCATACAGTGTACTTGGTCTGTCTTCTTAGAGTACCCTTCATGTTGTCAGTGTGGTTTCTGGCCTGTTTCAGCAATGGACAGAAGGGCCAGCTTCATTTGTCAGGAAGCTAGCAGAACTAGAGGACTCGTTGCTCGTTTTTTCTCTCTCATTTTGAAATTACTTATGGTGGTACTTCAGTCTGTGAGGTGGCTACCCTTACAGCAAGAGTCTTCAGAACCTGGGGCTACTCAGCATACAGCCAAACAGAGCTTGGTCATGCAAGAACATCTTGTCACATGCTCACCGACAGAAATCCCCACGGGACAGGGGCATTGTCATAAGCAATTTATTTTTCCATCTGGACTGGTGAGCTTCAAAATATCCTTGACATTGCCACTGAGGACTCCTAACACATTTTCATATGTATTTCCATGTACCATGGTTTCTTTCCTTACAGCTGTTTTGCAAAACAGTTTCAAAGAAGGAGACAGGTTTCTTTGCCCTCCCAGGAATGGGCACTTCCTTGAATGCAGGATTAAGTTTAAGGTACCAGTGTTCTTACAGCATGGACTGTTTTCTGCCTGGATCTGACAAGGTGACTCAGGCAGTAGAGCTCGACAGTGTTGGCATCTCCCCTTTCCCAAGGACCTGCCTTCCCAAGGACCGACACGTCAGGCTCTGCCATGGTGAGAGGATGGTCTCCCTTTGTCTCCCGGATCAGCGTTGCCTGGCGTTCATTCTCATAGGATGGGAGATGCAATCAACAAATCTGGCAACATCTGGAAGGAGCATGATTATAGAGTCAGTTTCTTCCAAGGAATCACCCATTGTGAAGGGCTTCCCTCCTCCTGCAGTAATCACAGGCTCGGGGAACTGCTCAGTAACCGAACTGATCTGTCCATGTTTACAATCAACAAACCCCCAACCAGCCTTCAACTTTCACGTCACATGACTGATCCACTCCAGTCAAGACGGCTAAGGTCTAGTCATCAGCATAGGTAACATGCTTTGTATGACTATGGAGTCAGAGGCTGGGAGCCTCTGGCGTAGAACTGAATGGTCATACTCGTTGCTCTTGATCCCATATATATACCTATTTCTGGAACCACTGACTTTCCCACAGAACACAAAAACTAAGATTCAAATATTTCTAAATGTAGGTTTTATCCTCCACTGGACCTGGCTTCACTCCTGGGGCTCAGAGCTGTACACTGTGGGGAAGATGATGAAAGTCACTTGAGAAGATACTGATCATTGTTGAAGCCAGGTAATGAGTACACAGGAGTTTGTTAAGACTATTCTGGTGTTGTATATGTTTGAGAATTTTCATAATGAAAAGTTTAAAACTTGCTGGTCAAACAACTCTACCGCTGCTGAAAAGGCCCACTGCCACCCCTCGCCCCTTCCCCGGCAGTACTCTCAAGTAGTTGCAGCGAATTTTGAAGCCTCAGTCAGGCTCTCAGCATCAAGTCAGTGTCTGCTAGTCCTCTTCTGACCTTATGTGGTTCAGGTCACTCATCCTTGTAAAGCAGAATCTCTCTCGTTAACTTTAGAAAGGAAGGGCTGGGAAGGACAGAAAATAAGTTTTTGAAAAAGTTGGTTCAATCACTAAGTTCTCACCGTTCCTCAGTAACTCATCTCTGTCCATCTCATTCTAACTTCACTTCCATTGTGCATGTGTGCTCAGTCACTTCAATCGTGTCTGACTCTGTGACCCCATGGACTGTAGCCCCGGCAGGCTCCTCTGTCCACGGGATTCTCCAGGCAAGAACACTGGAGCAGGTTACCATGCCCTCCAAGGGATCTTCCCAATCCAGGCATTGAATTTATGTCCTTTGTCTCCTGAATTGTGGCATTTTTTTACCGCTGAGCCACTGGGGAAGCCCTCACTTCCATCATCCCTAGTCCATTATGCCTGCACCTTACTGGTTTCCCTACCCCTCACACCCAGATTCATCTCCCTAAGACTTTAGGGTATCTTTAATTGTCCCTTGCTACATCATAATCCTCCAAGTCTACTTAACTGTCTACAGAATTAAATCCAGATTCCTAAATCAGGCACTCAGTGCCTGCCACACAGTAATGTCCCGAGCGTCTCCAGTGACCCCCTGGCCTCCACAAGCCCCCGGCTAACTGACACCTTTGCTGTGGTGACACTTTCCTTCCCTCTAGCTGTTGGATGAGCATTATTGAGAGAAGCCGTGTAGACACTAACTGAACGTCAGCTTCAGCTCCTCTTGTTCTTCAGAGTCTCCCCTGGGGCTAACCTAAGTTCTTTCTAAAATACTTGGACTCAGCTTTTATTGTTGATGTTGTTCAGTTGCTAAGTCGTGTCTGGCTCTTGGCAACCTCATGGACTGCAGCATGCCAGGCTCCTCTGTCCTCCACCATCTCATAGAGTTTGCTCAAATTCATGTCCATCGAGTTGGTAATGCCTTTATTAAGCACCACACAAATAGGTGCTTCCCAGTTTTGGAGATTTTCAGCTAGCAAAGCTTTAAGAAAGGGATGGCAAATTAAGTGTGAGATATACATCTGGAAAGAAATGTATACATTAACCAATCATACAACCGATGCCTGGGGAGAAAATAGAATATTGCCAGCACCTAAAATGCCCCATCCTTTGTGTCTCTCCCAGAGCATAATTCTTCCTCCAGAGATATTTGGTTCTCTGATTTTGGAGATAATTATTTCTTTATAGTTCTACCTCCTCCTTTCTATGTATATATACACAAAGCATTGTTTTGGTCTTTGAACTTGTATAAATGGAATCATCTCATTGGTATTGTCTTTTTCTGCCTAATTTTGGTTTTAGGAGATCATTCTCTTTCACTGCTTCCTAAGCTGTCTCACTGTACAACTGCACAGTTTATCCCCTCTACTGTGGGTAGGTGTTGGCTATTTCCGGTTTGAGGTTCTGGTGATGAGCAGTGCTGCTCTGACCCTTCTAGAGTATACCTCCAGTGCACCTAATGAGCATTTTCTGTACGGTATAAATGCGGGAATGAAACTAGGGGCATGGAAATATGTATCCCTCTAAACTTTTTTGTTAATGTCAACTTGTTTTCAAAGAGATGGTACTATTTTACCCTCCCACCAGCAGGGCATGAGAACAGGATTGTTCCACATTGTTTCCAATGCTTGGGTATCATCAGGAATTTAAATTTCTCCTGATTCGGTGAGTGTAAAATGGTATCTCATTGTGGGCTTTAATTTGCATTTCCCGGATGTACTAGTAAAATTGAGGACCTTTTTATTTATTGACTGATTGTTCACATTTCCACTTTGGGCAAATGCCTGTTTGTTTTTTACCCATTTTTCTATTAGTCTATCTGTTTCTTATTTGCTTGAGTGTGTATGTGTGTATATGTCTGTCTATAGATACATATTGATAGAGATTTCCGGGTACTGTTTCTTTGCTGTGTTGCAGATTTCTTGTTCTGTGGTTTACCTTCATTCTTTATGGTTTCTTGCTGAATCAAGTTCTTAATGTAGTCAAACTTTTATCTTTCCTCTTAAGATTAGAGGAAATCATATCTTTTTGTGTTTCATTTAAGAAATTTTTTTTCCACCTCAAGGTCATAAGGATATTCTCTATAATCTTCTAGTGTTTCAGTTTTCCTTTTCATACTTAAAGAATTTCTCTACCCAAAATTTCTTTCCTAATCCCCACCCCCTCTTCCTTACCCAATATGACTAGAAAGTTTTGGCACCACTTATTTTGCTGAGAAAGAACTCTTTTTAATTAATTAATTTATTTATTTTTGGTTTAAAAAAAAAATCTTTATTGAAATATATTGATTTATAGTATGTTTGCTAGTTTCACGTGTACAGCAAAGTGATTCAGTTATATTTTTTAGATTCTTTTCCATTATAGGTTATTACAAGATATCAAGTAGAGCTCCTTGTGCTATACAGTAGGTCCTTTGTTGATTATCTATTTTATATACAGTACTGTGTATATTTTAATCCCAAACTCCTAATGTATCTCTCCCCCCTCCCCATCCCCTTTGGTTACCATAGGTTTGTTTTCTATGTCTCTATGAATACTTCTGTTTTATAAATAAATTATTTGTATCATTTTTTTAAAGTTCCATATATAAGCAATGTCATATAATATTGGTCTTTCTCTTATCACTATCACTTCTTACCAAGACATTTTGATACCAAAACACGAGAAGAGCATAAGGTCAGAGTAAAGGAGAACGCTTTAAATCAAATAATTAACTCTTTATGTTATACTTGTTTAATTTGTCCATATTTTTCTCATTTTGTTACAGGTCCTTTGCAGAATTTTGCCTAAGTATAAGTTAATGAAGATGGAGGAAGGAATCCTATTTTTGTTTTTTTAATTTTGAAAGGCTGATGTTCTCCAAGTCTAACAACCACATAAATGTCCAGTGTGTCCATAACTGTCCAGAGCAGCCACTAGCAATAAGGACTTTTAATACTTTAGCAGAGGTGAATAACTGGCCTCCAGAGATCCAAGATGTACACATATTTGACTACTTGCCCTGGGAAGTCACTCTTAAAACTAATGCAAGTCCCTCACACTGCACTTTAAATACCACCTTCTTCCCATCAAGTATTTGAGTGCCTACTGTGTACACACACAGTACATGCCCCACACATAGCAGGGGGAGATGGACAATTACCATGGATAATTATCATGGATGGTTATCATGGATGGTAAAGAGGCTGGGTCAAGGGTCAAAGCCCAGCCCAGTTTGATCACAGCATGGCGGTCAGCTGCTTTTTTACAGATTGAATAGATGTTGGCTCAGCTGGTAAAGAACTTGCCTACTAATGCAGGAGACACAAAAGACTCTGGTTCAATCCCCAGGTTGGGAAGATCCCCTGGAGGAGGAGATGACAACTCCTCCAGTATTCTTGCCTGGGAAATCCCACGGACAGGAACCTGGTGGGCTACAGTCCATGGGGTTGCAAAGAGTCAGACGCGACTGAGCACACACGCACCTGTAGATGTTTCTTCCCCTGAAGACTGTGATGGTTTTAGGAGTGAGGTGGGTTTAGAGGAATAAGCTCTAAGTAAGATACAAAGAGCTCCAGGGCCTTAGGAGAACAGCATAGGCAAAGACTGGGAAAAAGAAGATGTTCTTTGGTGTGGCTGGAATATAAATGGCAAGGAGAGATGAGGCTATAGGCTAAGGCCAGACCAGGAAAAAGAGATCCCTGTCAGCCTGGCAAAGGGGGGTGGACTTGCTCTAAAAGGCCAGTAGAAAACCTTAAAGGGCTTCCTAAGAGCAAGTGGAAGGATGCTGCATTTGAAAAAGTTCTTTCTGGCTTGGGTACCACAGCATTTAGACTAGTGGGGCTTGTGAATGAAAAGCAACTCCAAAGTGATTATGGGCAGTGCCAGGAGAGCACAGAGGACTCTTCAGCATCAGTTGTTACCTTTTTTGGCCATGGATCTTAGTTCCCCGACCAGAGTTGGAACCCGCACCCTCTGTAGTGGAAGTGTCCAGTCTTAACCACTGAACCACCAGAGAAGTCCCCATTGAAGTTACTCCTTTTGGGCAAAGGGGAGACCCAAGAGACACTTGCCACCACTGCTGTGTGGATATATTTAGACCTGGGTGCAACTCTTTTTAGTTTACCAGCAGGAAGGGTATACTTCGTATATTCAAAAAATCCATCTGTGGTTAACACCTGGACTTTGATTTATATTCAGTCTATTCCATGGAATTTTTATTCTGATCAACGTTACCAGATGAACCATGTTCTCTGAGGAATGATTAGCCCAAAGTAGGACAGAAGAGAATCTGAGAAGTAGCCTTTCCACCTGCCCCTTGGCTCTGCCCTAGGAAACAGTCACCCAGCAGCACTTCCTGGAAACCGCTGAGACAGAAGTTACATGGCACTGGCCTCGGCTGCAGAAATCCTGAATTGGTTCTTTGTACAAGATCGTCTCTTAGACACCAAAGCCTCAGT